CCAAAAACAAAATAGTTAACAAAAGAAAAAAAAAATCCAATTACAGAAATATCCATTATAAAGTTTTGTTTTTAATAATTTTATGATTCCTACACAGAATGATAATTTTTTTTATTTGCTTTTTAACCAAGACATGTAATTTAGTAATTTGTGCTTAGTAACGTTGATATGTTACTATCAAATTTTGAATTCATATAATACAGATTGTTAAAAAAAAAAAAAGGACTCTAAATAGAGTTTCAGAATTTCAAATTAGAGATAAAAATTATTTTATTTTATGCTATAAATTGTGTAGTTTCTTCAGTTGACAAATAGAAAAAGAAAAGTAATTCCACATCGGACGGTAATATCTGATCAAGTACCTTTCATTGCATAGTTCACTCACGATCGCCACGTGGGACCCATATTCCAGTCACATCATAATGCCACTTAAAAACGGCACCGTATCAAACGATATAAATTATGAAACCTTTTGAGAATTTAAAGCAGAGATTCTTGGTCAATTCATAATTTTCATTCATAGCTAATTACTTTAACTCAAAGCAAATGTTCTGTAAACATATCCATCTTTTCTTGATCGAATTAGTCTAATCAGCATTTCAAACTAGACATTATTTAGAAAAATTTAGTTTAGCAGACAAAGATCAAATGAATAATAAAAAAAAAAAATCAAATATTTTCGATCGAGTTGTTTCTTGGGAAATTAAAATGATTTTTTCTCCAAACTATTTTATACAGTAAATCAGTAAATGTATGACTTTGACTTTGACTTTGATTTTTTTCTAAATATTTACAGAAATTAGAACTATTTTTTATAGATCAGTAATTGTAATGACTTTGACTATAATTTTCTAAATATCTATGTACATCTCACATTATAGGTAATCGAAGAAAGTGTTCAATTTTTCTGAGCTGAAAAAGTTCCTAGTAAATTTAAGAATTTTTTGTAATCATATCAAATCAAATATGGTCTAAATAATCAGAACCTAAACTGTCACAATCGGTAATCTACAAAAGCCTTTTCCCGGGAAAAGATTTTAGCGGAGAAAATAAAAATTCTATCACTTTCTTTGGCCTAAAAAAACTTTGCCACTTTCTACTTTTTTTCCACAACTTCCTTTTCAATTAGAAAATTGATGTTCTTGGCACTGAAGAAAATGGC